AAACACAGAGGGCAAAGAAGCACCTGTTATCTGTGCTGGGTGTTTATCAATGTGGTTGGCAGTCTCTTTGTGTTAAAACTTATCAAGTGTATGATTAAGTAAAATATCCAGATCTATGATGTGTGAATGTTTGCATAGGTAAGCTGTATATGTATTTTTGTACACATTCCTCTCCCCCCCATACCTTCCTCCCTCCCTACCTCTTGTAGAAAAGATCCTTTTCAATAGTTTCAATCTCACAATCGCGTTATGAGAATTAGATGAGTCTACATGTAAACTACTTAGAACAGTGCCTGATCTATGTAAGCACTAAATGAATGCTAGATATTATTCTTATTTTATCCTCACATGCACTGTGACCGGCTCTAAGGATATGTATATAACTGGGGATATGTATCCCCAAATTATGTATAAAAAAATGGCTGCTACCCTTAATGAATAAGAGCCTTGGGAAGGTTTTTTTTTTTTTTTTTAATAAATGACCAGTCAAATGCTATATCTGAATTAGGCACATGGTGCACAGAACATAAAGGAAGGATATTAAATTAATACTGTTGGCAGGAGAGAGGAAAGGGCAAGGAGAATCCGGAAAATATTTCTGGAGGACAGGACACCTGAGCAGAAAGTTTTCAAAGAATATATTGGAATTAGCTGGAGCACGCATGGGAAAGCTTATTCCAAGCATACCAAGTGGGTATGCAGAGACTACGATGCTATGGGCATTTGGAGACAGAGTTTGACAGGTTTGGCATTTAGGATACAGATGCATTATAAGATGTTAAATGTCCAGTTTCTAGGAAGTGTTCATCCTATCAGACTGAATGCTTGTCAGTTTACATCTGAGAAATACCCACATGAACTGGAATGAGAAAGCTATGTGAAGACACCCACACTCCACAATGTCTAAGCTGTACAAAATTAGACATACAGCTTATCACCTAGCATTGTAGTTTCCCGAAATGGGGGTAGTAAGATTGAGCAATAATATGGGGAAGGCACCTCCCTTCTCCTAACTGATTAGGATGCTGCTGCCTTTGCTACTATGAGTATTTTCCATTTAAAACATGATATTTAAAACAGATACTGGCCAAATAAAACATGTAAGTATTCTAGGAGCCACACTGTTAACAAACGAAAAGTAAAAAATGTTTATCATGGAAAAGCAATTACTGGGTATTGGCATGAGGGTGAGGGACAGGGTTAGGAGGAAGAGGATAGAGAGAGGACTACTATTTTCAGCAGCTTTCCTGCTTTGAAATCATACCCCCATTTAAGTGATGGTTTGGCTAATCTCTCCGCACCTTCTACCAGAATCTTTTGTAAATACACAAACTTTTAGCTGAGAAAAGATAGCCGTACTTCATTTTAAACATCTGCCACATCCAAAACAGTTTTATCTGATGATTGATTATTTTGTAGCACATCTTCCCATGTTTGCTTCCATGACTCATCTGACTTAAAGAAATTAGACTGTCTGGGTGCATTTTCCCCCTTCCATTGATGTAAGCAAAGCTATAGGAGGAGAGACTTTACGCTGTAAATACACATGGTAAATTTTGCTTCTTTTGATAAACATTTCTTAGTCAATCAAGACTTGCTTGTACTAAAGACTAAATGATGAGTATATGTCACAAAGTAGAGAACTGTTAATGCAATTTGGGCCAGTTAATGGATTCTGCTTTTTACCATTTTTCCTTGATACTCTATACCAAAATCTCTTTTGAGGAGTTGGCATGACATGTGGGATTTTTTTTTTCCTCTTCTCTGTCATCCCTCTTCCCAGCCATCCTTCTTAAAACATCTTCTTTGGCAGTAAAGGTTAGCCCACGTTTATTGAACACCTACCATATGCTTGTATGCTTGAGATACAGTGATGAAGTATCAATAATTATTGGTCTCTAGATATCGCTCACAAAGAGATGGGAGTGAGACAAGGAAACGGGATAATATGCTGTGGCATGATCAAAGTATACACAAGATTCTCTGGCAGGGAAAGGTCAGGGGATATTTTCTGAAATGCTTGATCCCTTAGCTCAGTTCTGAAAAATGTAAGATAATAAGGAAGAGAAGGCAAAGGAGGGAGGAGCGGAGGGAGAAACACATTCACTGAATATTTACTATTTTTTAGGCACTGTGAATTGTCACCTTTCTAACTTAAAATACTTCTCTGAAGTAGGTACAGACGTCATTACAACTTTATAGACGTGGAAACTGACGCTCACAGAGGTAAGATTTGCCCACAGACAGAAAGGGTCATAACCAGGAATCAGACTTGGGCAGCTCAGTTTCCAAGCCCACTCTCTGTGCCGAGGAATTCTGCTCCCTCCCCTGAGAAGAGCAGAGAAGGAGGAAACTGGAGGGAGCAAAGGTGTGGACAATTTAGGTAGGAAAAAAAGCTGCTGAAAATCCTTGGATGCCGTGAATAGCAAAGAATTGTTGACAAATGGCCCTACATGGTGACATGAGGGAATCTGACCTCTGCCCTGAGCTCTGGGGTAACGTGAATGCCTCTGTGTATCTTCTGGCCATTACCACTGCCCCACGTCCTATTTCACCTATATCTCAGGACAGGCTTCCAACTGCAAGGGGTCAATATAAATGTATCCTTCGGACATAGTTTTGAAAAACTGTGCCTGGACTGACCATCATCAGTAATCATGGGCTTTTATAGAGAAACAGGAATGTAGACATCTTTTGGGCAAGCCTCCTCATTCTGGACAAAAAAGAAGTGGCTCAGAGTGAGGCAAGTATTTATCCAAAGCCAGAGTTCAGAACCCAGGCCTTCTGCTCACAGCAGAGTGATTTATATTTTTAGCTAATTAAACATCAGGTGACACTGCCTTCCTGACCCAGGAGGATATTTGTGGGCACAGGAAAGGAGAGCAGCCTAGTACCCAAAATGGGTTCATAAAACTGCAGGTTGGGGAATCTTACTTCCCACACCTGGTCTCATACTCACACACCTGGTCATCCCGCAGACTTTTAGTCAATAATAAGCACCTATATCCACTCAACTGGTTGAGTCACTCACATAAGAATGATCCTTGACATCTTTCTCTCTCTCATCTGCCAATACCAATTCAACATAAAGTCCTGCTTCCATTTCCAAAACACACGTAGGGCATGCATCCCTCTTTGCTGCCATTGCATCTTCCAAGCCAGCAGCCCTCTCTCCTGTTTAACTGCAATGGATTGCCATGCAGCCATTCTTGCTTTCACTGGCTCACAGCCAAAATATTCTTTGTCAATAAATACAATCAGATCACTCCTGCTTTAAAAAAAAATCACATTGCCCATTGCATTTGGGGTACAATTTCCTTGTCCTACAAAGCCCTGGATTATTCGTCTCTGTGTACTTCCTCAGAGTACATTAAGCATCAGGCTTATGAATCTTTTTTAGGTCCTCAAATGCCCCAAATCCCATCTTGCCTCAATGCTCTTACACAATCTACTCCTTCCAAGCAATGTTCTCTCCCTATACTTAATCTTAACTCTTCTGCATATTTTAATTCTCAGCTGAAAAAGAATACCTTTAACGAAAGCTTCACTCACCTCCCCTTACAATCTCTCCCATATAAATCATTCCCCAAATGATATTCCCTTGCAGACTCTGAGCAATTACATCACATTTAATTATTCATTTATTAGCAAACTGTTTGACTTTGAGTAAGCCGTTCAATTCTCCGAAATTTCTCATCCTCGCCTATAAAATGGGCATACTTTGTAGAACAGTTGTAAGGACCGGAATTAAAGCACTTAATAGGCATTCAATGAATAGCTATGTTATTCTTAAATTCCATCCATAGCCCAAAACAATACTCTGTACAATGGAAAATCAATCATGGCTTAAGACCCAGAACTAAGGTGACTATCAATCAGAATAGAGAGACTTTGGGCACCTGGGTGGCTCAGTTGGTTAAGCCACTGCCTTCGGCTCAGGTCATGATCCTGGAGTCCCGGGATCGAGTCCCGCATCGGGCTCCCTGCTCGGCGGGAAGTCTGCTTCTCCCTCTGACCCTCCCCCCTCTCATGCTCTCTCTCTCTCATTCTCTCTCTCAAATAAATAAATAAAATCTTTAAAAAAAAAAAAAAGAATAGAGAGACTTTTCTGGAATACTGTCTCCAAGAAGAAAGCTCTGGGAGCCACCTGTACATTCCAGTCTGACCTATGGAAACACCACTATTAGTTCTTAGCCATGAAAGAGGCCACTGAAAAGGGAGAGAAACATACACAACTGGGGAAAACACTGAAATACAGCTTATGCTGTGTAAGTTCATCTGTCTTAAGCTGAGGACACTAAAGAAAGATTTTTGTAAAAAGCTTTCCGCATTGGTTAACAATGATTTCTGCCTTTTCCCTCTCAACACAGTCAATGTTCCAACGTTCATAAAAATTGGAACACAGAGCTCTCTTAAGTCCTGTTGTCCAAACCATAGACTATTTGCAAAGCAAGCCAGTACCAATCTTGAATAACATTTCCAATGGTTCTCCTAGAGCACAAACACATTTAAGTGTGCCTATTCACAAGTTTAAAAAAGAATGTAAATGTATGCACATAGGAACATTGAAATAGCCTTCTGTGAGGCCATTTAATAAGCCAGTCTCTGAGTCCACACAGCAAACAAACTAGAATTAGAAATCAGAAGCAGAACTGTCATTATGCATACCTGTAATTAATTTTAGGAAGTTCATACGTTCCAGAAAAGTTGTCTGCATACCACCATTTTGTAAATTGGATTATATTTTTAAAAGCACTAAAGGAGGTAACTATTTTAACTAGCATTCAAATGAAACCTTCGGTAACGTGAAGAATCATTTTTTGTAATATGAATAATTGGCATCATTAAATTCACTTTGTAAACAAGAGACACTTGTACCATGTTTAGATTCAAGCAGATGATCCATCTGCTCTTGGTTTTGGGATTCATTCATTCAGTTAGCATTTTTCATGCATTTGCTATTCATGTATTCATTCTACAAATATTTACTGAGTGCTTACCATATGCCTGGCACTGTATTAGATGCTGAAGATTCAGGAATGAACAAGAGAGACGATATCCTTTGCCCTCCTGAAGCTTGTACCCTAATGGGGCAAGGTGATGATAAACACAGATAAATAAAAATATACAATACAATCTCAAGTAGATATATATGTTACAAATAAGAACAGAGCAGTCTCAGGGGAAAGGGATGGACTGCAGGGGACTGGAAGGTTGGGTGGGTGCTTCTGCTGATGAAAGAGCCAGGGAAGTCCTGGTTAAACAGGCAAAATGAGGGAGCAAGCCAGGAGAAAGACTTGGGGCAGGGTGCTTCAGGCAGAAGGAACAGCAAATGCAAAGGTCCTGAATCTGGAGTATGTTTATGTTTGAACAATAGCAGAAAGTAAAATGTGGCTTGAGTGATCCAGGGAGAGGTGGGAAGATCAGCAAGGTACTCAGAAATCACCTCATGATGGACCTTCTGGCCTATGGATGGAGGTAAGCATGAGGCAACTGTTCTCAGTACCAGTAGGCAAGGAATAGAAGACTCAGAATCCCCAGATTTCTGCCCACCATGGGAGGGATGGTTTTCCAAATAAATTAACACGCTTATATCTTTTTTCTTGTATCCTCCTAATTCTGCTCTTACCTCCTCTGCCTCTATTGCCCTTCCCTCCCTTCCTTCCTTTCACCATTTTATAAATATTTATTTTGTACGTATTGTGTTTCAGGCAATGTGCCTAGGGATCTGATGGATGCCCTCTGCCCTGGGCATAGAGAAAATTCTCCCTTTTCCCCACACACTCCCCATTCATATCAAAACTAGAATCTGTTCCATGAGCTTCTCCACTGGGATAACTTGTGAGTCAAACACACATAGGTTGGAATCCCAGCTCCAATACTTACCTGCTGTATTATATTAGGCAGTGCATATAATTTTCCTGTTGTCTCAATTCTCTCATCTGCAAAACAGGAATAATAATACACACTTTGATGGAATGTTTTAATAATTTCTAGTTTTATCTATAAGCCAGTGATTATTATTATTACATTACTATTTCTGCTTGTTTCTTCCTTTACAACTTGAGTCTCAGAGTTAAAGGACATAGTTATGAGGTTTGGTATGAGGCTGAAACTGTCTTCTAATCCTGTCTCCTCTAATGTTCTAGAATACTGTATTCCTGATTATAGGATATAACCCATGGGATCTGACAACCCAAGATGACCCAGCATGGAAGCAGGCTGGAAAGCCGTGCCTGTGGGAGATTGTGTTAACGGCCTCAACTCTTCATCCTTCCCTGTATCTACACCCCTTGCCATACAACTCTGAAGTTCCTCTCACTGAAAAAGCAGATTACATTTTTCCACCCCTTATCTTTTGATCTGGCTATGTAGTATGCTTTGGCCAACAAAAGTGTGAGGTAGAAGGGACAGTTTCCAGTCCTAAGCCTGCACCCCAAGAGGCCATGCATATTTCTGCATGACATCTTGTGTAACTGCCTTTGCCATGAGAATATGTCCAAACTGGTCCCAGGAGGAGGATGGGAAATACAGGGAGCTGAGCAGTTACCCTGGCCTAGCTCAGTGTGGACCAGGCAACCCCAGCCAACCCATGGAGGAGAGCAAATAATTGTTATTTTAAGCCACTGGATGCTGGAGTCATTCATAACCTATGGAGATATTTGAATTACTGTCTTAATTTAATAAAAATATTTATTAATAAACATTTAATCAAACATTTATTGGACTTCTATATTTAATACACCAGGTGCTGAGGATACAGGCATAAATCAGAAGGATATCATCCCTGCCCTTGGGGAACTTACAGTTTAGGTGAGGGAGGAAAACAAAGAAATGCTACTGGTCAGAGTTGAAAAGGGTCTGTTTCAGAGAAGGGGGTTGCCTGAGATGACTGGCTGACTACTCCTAGTGGTGGAAAGGGGAACTGCATCTAAGAGATGCTCTCAACTCTCATTAAGAGTAGGACTTAAAAACCCCAGAATGTCAGCTTTGGAAGGATCCCTCCCTGAACTTATCTTGGGTGAGCTCTCATTTACAGCTAGGCTCAGAGAAAGGGAAGGAGTTATTCAGGGCAACTCAGGGAATCTGTGGCAAATCTAGGACAGGCCACCTGTCCCCATAGTAGACACATCTAATTCTAATATGACCTCAAATGGGTCTTACAGTGTTAGTAAACTTTGAACTGCCATAAAATTCTTGGCCAGAAGTTTTATTACTAACACCATTTAAAATAAGATAAATCTCCACAATTATTATAATTCATAATTGTAACATGACTCCTTTCTTGCTCAGGGCATTTAAGGTATGATAATAACTAGACCTCATAATTAGTAATAGTAATTAATAGCTTTCATTTATTGAGCCTCTGCTCTAAGCACAGTTTTGATGGCTTTAGATATGTAGGCACATTTAATCCCTGCAACAATCTAGGCACAGATAATAATCTCCATTTTATAGAATTGGAAACTGAATCTCATGGAGATAAAGTCTTTGTCAAGTCATACAGCTAATAAGAGGCAGAACCAGGAATCAGACACAGATCAAAGGGCTGTGGTTTTTCTACTTTGCTCTGCAGACCCAGCTGTGGCAACCTTTATCTGAAATACTGGTTCACAAATGGCATTCCTGTTCCATCTTTCTCAATGGTTTCCCTCTGCCTAGAGAAGGCACGATTGAAACCCACTGCAATGTGATAAAACCATCTTCCTGCTTGGATCTTGCCTCACTTTTTACACCTTATACCAAAGGATACCTCTGGAGCAGGAAGCTTTGAGAAGACCTGGGGGAGCCTGGAGCTTCTAAGTGGAAACAAGGAACTGACTCAGCAGGGCCTGGCTATCTTCAGAGTCTGAGGAGAGGCTCATCAAAGGGAGGATAGCCTGGTACCTTTGATGAAGGAACCAACAGGAAATTATTAGCCTCATGCTGACAAGGACAAAGACAAGAAAAGGGCCATTTGGGCCTCATCTCTGTCTGGACTGGAAGAGGCAGGAAGCATAAGGGGTTGTTTAATCCCGGCTCCAGAGCAACGTGAACCCTGGTTTCCTCCCTTGAAGAACAAGGTGAAGGAAAGGTGAGGCAAGTTAAGATAAACACCCAAACTTCTGGCTGCCTGGATGAACTGAATCTTTTAATTTAAGCTGTCAGTGGGTTCTTTCTTCTCTCTCTCTTTTCCTTTTTTAATCTAAACTGTAATCACACAATACTCCACCCAAGTGCTTGATATGGATTTCTAAGACAGATCCTAACATAGTCATAAAAAAAAAAATCCCCTCTGAAATGTGCACTTTGTACTGTGTCTATGTGTAGGTGTGTTTAAAATGTCACGAACTGGAATACCTAACTCTAGTTCCCAGGAATTAATCACTTAGAAGAGTGAAAGGGGGAAATTAACTTGCTTTAACACTTACAAGACTCACCAAAGCAGGCGCCAAAATAGAACTTACTGAGTAGACGTATGGTTATCTTTCTATAAGAACTAAAACTCTTAAAAAAAAATTTTTTTTTTCTCTAAAATTGCCTTGCAAAATCCCCCCTCACCCCCAGCCAAGTTAGGGCTCAAATGCAGGTCACAGACTCTCACAGATTCCTCATAGGGAATAAAGGTGTAAAAAGTTTTTTGGGGGATGGGGGGGTGGCCTTTTTTAAAGTAACAATTCAATGAATTTTAGCTAAATGTGTAAATTTGTGCAACTACCACCACCATCTGATTTTAGAACATTTTCAACACCAAACAAAGTTCCCTCATGCCCATCTGTAGTCAATTCCTATTTATACGCTGAGCCAGGACAACCAGTGATATGCTTTCTGTCTCTATAAATTTGCATTTTCTGGACATTTATATAAAAGCATCATACAATATGTGGTTTTGTATCTGGCTTTTAGCATGTTTTTAAGATTCATTCATAATGTAACATGCATCAGTATTTCTTTTCTTTTTAATGCTGAATACTACTCCATTTTGTGGATATACCACATTTGTTTATTTGGCAGTTGATGGATATATGGTTTATTTCCAAATTCTGGCTGTTAGGGATAACGCTGCTATGAACTTTCAGATACACGGCTTTGTGTGGGTATGTTTTCCACTCTCTTGAGTAGAATCACAGGCACAGAATTGCTGGGTTGGGCAAAGGGCTATTGACCACTGTTAGACACTAGGTTTCATCTGATTCAGATATGCCATGTCAGTGGAAATCTACCAAACAATTCTTAACTTATCTTTAAAATCAGCTGATACTATCTTTCATGAGTGGGATGGTCTAAAAAAAAAGTCCCAAGAAACAAATAACAACCAACCAACCAGCCAACCAAACAAACAAAAAAACCCCAACTGCTCTCATTTGATGTATTCTGAACAGAAAGTGGAGGGCAAATTCCAACTAATATCAGATCACATGTGCCCAGGCTCTGTCTGTGGACGTGCCTCCAAAACGGAATTAATTGAAATTCTTCTCATGGATCAAGAGATGCCCTCGCCATCACAGATGCTGGACATCTTTGTGTATGTGTAATTAGACTGACGATGGCTTCACGGTCCCTTTTATGCCCACGCGGAAAGGATGAGACAATCCTGACAATAGTAGCGGAAAAAGCGCAAAATCCAGGTATCTCTGAAGGAGAGTATAACTTCTCTCCGGTGTAACTTCATTCCCGGGCGAGGGGGCGCAGTGTGAGCACCCCATCACCGCCGCTACGCCCCGCCGGTGTGAGGGGCACTTGCGGCGGCGGCCTAGGACACACTGCAAGTTTTAGGGCTTAGGGTACACGGGAATGGCAGATGAAAAGACAGCACCAAAGGGGTTGAGAAGAAGCTAGAGTATGGAGGGGCTAGCGTCAGGGCCCAACCTGAGGAGGCGGCAGAGACTGGTACCGCGTGCGACTCACCCGCGCGCTCCGGAGAAGCGCTGGGCCTCCTTGGCCTCGCCAGTCGCTCGCACCTGGGGTGAGTGAGGCGGGGGAGCGCGGCGTCCAGGGTCCAGAGGCCTGTCACCTTGAGGCCTCTGGGACGTGGGGGTCGGGGGGGAGCAGTGGAGCAAAGGAACCGGGCAGCGTAAACCTAGCACCCCCTCCCCCAGCCGAGGAATGCGCAGTCTAAAAGCCACCGCTCCACGGAAGGCGCGGGACGCGCGCTGGTGGGGCGGGCGGGATCCCGGAGGCCGCGAGGGCGGCGGGCGCGCCGAGGGGGAGGGGCGG